TGTGTGTGTGTGTGTGTGTGTGTGTGTGTGTGCTTATGTGTGCGTCTGTGCCGAGCCTTCATCTTGAGATCTACAAAAGCTACAAAGCTGAAACTTTTATAACTTAATTTAGATATACGTACGGGCCCCATCTTCAAAACCGACGCCCGCGTTCACGTGGTTCTCACGTAAAAGCACGTGAAAATTATTTGGCAAGAAAGCGACTTCGGCACAAACTAGAAAGCTAAAACTTCCTTGGCCATGTCCAATCCAAAGATTTCAAATTTACCCTCGCGCACCCTCGGGTCTCACGCACGCCCAAGTCAAGGTTTGAACTGGCATCATGCCAATCCAAATTTAGGCTGACCAAAAAAAAATTGTAGAGAGTTGTAATTTTGCGGCGTTATTTGTTGCTCATTCATGTGTCGGAGGAAGTAAATTAAGTCACAGTATTTCTGCATCTCAAGTATTGAATCGTGAAAATTTCACACAGGCAAAAATTTTGTAACTTCGAAACTGAAGCAGCTACAGAGCTGAAAAAAAACTTTCTGGGCGTGACCGGCGGCGACGTCTGACCAGATGAACGTAAAAACGAGTTTCACGTTCCCTTTATATCTTACATACATCTCACGTACAGACACTTGAAATTTGACGTTGCCGCGCAACATAAGCAGCTAGAGCGCTGAAATTTTATGAGAATGGCCTGCGACAATGATTAGGCAATCACGCACAAAAAGAAATTTCACGTCTCCTGCTCACGCACGGACATGTGAAATTTGACGTAACTCTACAACCAGATCAGCTGGAGCGCTGAAATTTTATGAGCGCGGCCCTGAACCGTGTTTGTGCAAACGCACGTGAGAATGACGCCCGTGTTTCCCCCACGTGCGAACACGTGAAATTTGATGTAATTTCGCAGCCGAAGCGATGAATTTTTCGAGCATCAATTGGGAGCCATTACAATAATTTCCTGCATTCTCTGTGGCCGCTATCAGTTAGCTAGAAGCATCTGCAGGAAAAAACACTACCATTAGCGACAAAAGGCTGCGGGGAACTGTGCAGAAAACGTATCTTTGCACCGGTAACCAATGCACCAACTAATGACGCTATATGCATAAGGTGCAAAAACGCACAAAAACAGATAAGGTTTTATCGTGTTTTCATTCAGTAAAAAAAAAATAAACATGAGCAAGTTAATTTGAGCTCCGGACTTGAATTTTCGACACAACATCGCTGAAATCTGGATTTATATCACTGACATAAAGTCTCAAAGTATTTCCCAGATTGTTGTCAGTTAGCCTCGTGCGTATTTTAGTTTTATTCATTTTCATGAGAGTGGCGGAACACAAACCCCCATTTGTTTAGTCGGACACCACGGTCCCGGGTTAAAACCGGCTGCGGGGTGGATCTGGTCCGTAGGCCGCCGGTTGCCCATACTTAGCAATCGACGTAGCGACCCGATGTTCATGGTGTCGCTGAC